CCACTCAGGACGCCTTGCTGTGTCCAGGGCTCTCTGCTGTAATGTGGACGAGGCCCCGGCACCAAGCCTGGAGATGCCACTTGGAAGAACCTGATGCCCGGGCCGACCTGGCATAGGCCCTTCCTGCTGATGCCATTTAGGGGTCAGGACTGACAGTTTCAGCTGGGCAGTCAGTGGGGATGGGCTTATCGTGTGCTCAGGGACAGAGGGAAGAAAAGACAACTCTGGGGGTGGCAGCTTGCCCAGCATTGCAGTAAAGCCCTTTCCAAAAAATCTCGTACCCTCAGACAATTTGTGGGTCCAAACCTGTCCCCCAAACAGGCATGTGGAGTCTCACTCACTGGGTTATAAAGTCTCCAGAGCTTTACCAGTCAGGGGTGTCCAAAGAGAACGCACTGCCTCAGGAGGTAGTGAGCCCCCTGCCTCTGGAGGAGTTCAAGCAAAGGCCAGGGATCACTTGGTAGGGGTGTTAGATGTAGGGGGGTCGGGGAGCAGACAGACCTGGATCCTGACCCTGGCTCTGCCACTTACTAGCCGTGTGACCCTGGGCAACTAATGTAACCTTTCTGAGCCTTAGTGTCCTTAATATTAAAAAGAGGGCGGTAACAGTACCTCTCCCGCTTGACAGATAGATAATACTAAAGCACTTAGCACAGTGCTGGGTGCAAGGTAAGCAATCAATAAAAAACGTCGTTGCTACCATCGTCATTGCTGTTGTTATTATTGAATGTCTGTCTCAATCCTGACATTCTTTCCTTAATTCCTTCCTTCAGTCAATAAATAGGCAAGTACCTGCACCTACTTAATGCCAGGCATTGTACTGGGGACCTGGGGGTTGGGGGTAGATCAGAGGTGATCCAGCCTCCAGTGAGCACGCGGTCTGGGAGGGAACTACCATGCCAGGTGAAGGTGGTGGGTGGCCCCTTATCCGACAAAGTGCCAGGTAAGCTGGGAGACGGGAAGAACTATTTCTAATCTAAGGTGGAATGGTGAACAAGACTGTGGTTAAGCTGGACACCTCAGGTGAAAGTCCTTGGCCATGTCCCTGTGCTCAATAAAAGGCCCTGAGGTGGGCGAGAGCAGGTCAAGGAGGCCCTTTGGGTTGGGACAGGGGCGAGGTGGGTGGATGGGGGACTGGACTTGTAGGGCTGGATGCCAAGCTCAGCCACTCCATCTTGACTCCCCTGGGAGCCCGAGGCCTCCGAGTGAGAGAGTGATGCTGTCATAACTGTGCCACAGCCTGAGGAGGGCACAGGGAGACCAGAGGCTGGTGGCCACCAGAGTCCAGGTGGGAGGTAACATGCAGCCCCCTGCTTTAGGAAGCAGCACAGGGGATGGAGTCACACCTGGCGACGGGCAGATCCCAAGTTGGGAGACCTGGGGCAATTAACCCCACTGAGCTTCAAGCCACCGTGTAAGGCTGTTCCTGGGATTATGTTAAATAATTCAGCAAGCACCTCGAGTTCTCAAGGAATGGCTGTGGCCATGGGAACAGAAGGAATGGGGACCAAAAATATTCTGGGGCTGAACTGGCAGGTCTCGGCAGACAATTGCACTTGGGGAGGAGATGACTGGGAGTGGAGGTGCCTATTTTTGTAACTAAAATTTTATCAGAACACAGCCACGCCCGTTCTTTGAAGTATTGTCTGTGGCTGCTTGTGTGCAGAGTTGAGTAGTCTCAACAGAGACCACCAGCCTGGTCAACAAAACGCTCTGTGGTGCACCCTCACACTCTGCCTCCCTCCAGCCACACTAAAACACAGTGAGGTGCAGCTGGGGACTGAAGAGAATGCCACTAGATATCACTTTAAAAGCAGGTGCATTGGGTGGTGATGCATTTATTCAAAATACAAAAGGATCCCCACAGGCTTTTTCTAAGTATCAAGCTGTATACCACGTAGATATACACACATACATACATGCACACATTCCCATACATACATACACACATGCCACATACACACACACATCGGCCTTCCAGTCCTCAGCATAACTTCCAAAGCATTCGGCAGGAGACGCTGCCTCAGGGCCCAAACCAGGATCAGTATGCTAAAGAAGAAAAGGGTCCAAGTTTTTCATTTACGGGTGGTACTTGCCCTGGGCTACAAATGCAAATATATATATTCTGCCTAAGTGCATAGCAAGGAGAAAAATAGTGGCTGCAGGGATCCCAAAAAACAAAGGCAGAACAAAGCCCAATTCCTGGGGTGCAAGAGAAAAACTCTGAAGCCAAGTCTCACTTCACTTGCGTTGGCTCTGCTGCCTCATTGCCAGATCAGCCCAGCAAACCGCCTAGGAACAAAAGGGCCAAGGAGTCCATAAAATCACCGAGCTGGGGAGACCCTGGAGAGGGGGCTGGCGCTGCTCCAGGGAGCAAAGGCCCTTGCACACACGGCTGCTTCTATTCCACCTCTGCGGCTCCTGGGAGAACACTCTGCAGCTGCATTTGATAGGAGTGTGCAGGGAAGCTACCTCCGAGTGGGTCTGCTCAGTGACAAGCCAGGACTGGTCTTAGCTGAGATTCCTGGCGTGGACGGGGCACAGCAGGCAGGCAGTGGCTCCACTGGCAGCCCTGGAGGTATGGGGACAGGGCAGACGCAGGCGGGGCAGTGGGGAGGCATGGCCTGAGTCCTACTCTGGTACTGATTCATGGCCAGCCAGCCTGATGGATAGATGGTCGGATGGAAGGACAGATCTCCAGCCCCCTGGCCTGTGTGCTCTGTCTCTATGAGACGTGAGGCAGGTCTCGGCGCGCATTAAAGGCTCACAGCATCCTAACTGGCAAGGACACCTCAGCCTCTGAGGCCACTGCTGTGGTTTTCTCTGTGAAAGCTCTGTTCCCCTGGGGCAGAGGCCAGTGCTCCCTCGTCCTGGGCTTGTCGGGAGGGTGGCAGAGAACACATAGCCTGGCAAGCTGTTTGGGGCCTATGGGCTCACCGCACCAGAGATGAGAGAAAGCAGGTTGTTTCCTCAGCAATCTACCCTCGGTGGCCTCTAGAAGGTCAGGACTAAAGGGTCTGCAGAGATCACCTCAAGCCCCTTGGCTTTCCTGAGGCTGGGATTGAGGCCCCGAATGGGGTTGGCCCTTGCCGAGGGAGCTGGGCACAGGGCTCCAGGCAGCATGTCTGCTCCAGTGCTCTGGGTCTCAGGACCCTCCCTCTGAGCCAGGGCTAGTGCTCAGTACCGATGAAGGGCAGGGGACACAGGCTATGCTGCTTAAATGAACAACTTAATCCACAGAATTGTGCTCACAGGCCCTATCACAGGTGCTCAGAAGGACAAACACTGTTTTCCCAAAATGAGCAACTCCATGATCAAAAACTCATGCCATCTCCTGCCCAGGGCCAATAAGGTAGCATTCCAAGTGCACCTGGCTTGACCCCCTTCTTTCCAGATTGCCTGAGGCCCTGGGAGGAGGGGACCCCCTGCTGGCTGCCTAGGCCTGGCTCCTGACTGCTGCAGCACTGTGACTGTGTCTGTCACAGACGACCCCTCCCACTGTGCAAAGGACTATAGGGGGATGGAAGAGGGAGGGAGGGGCAAGGTGCTACCCCAAGGTGGCCAACACCTGCTGCACAGGTACATACACGTTGCATCCACCCACATGAGTGTGAGAACTCAGGTTTAGCACTGTCCTTCCCACTTTACTTAAAACAGTTGAAAACCACCAGGTGTGCAGTTCCTTCTAGCATTAGCAAGCCTGTCAGAGGAGCCCTGTTTAAGGTGGGAAGCTGGGCCTGTTTCAGAAATGGAGGCAGTTGAGGCTGCAGTGGTGAAATTGCCTGCCAGGGGTCCCGCAGCTACGAGGCGGGAAGGCAGACCCGAGTGAGCCCGCGCTCTGCTCTCTCGTGCACGGGCACGGGCACGGTGCATCTCCTGGCAGAGTCGAGAACCTCGAGGCCTCACAGGCCGAGTAGCTGCAGAGCCAGGACGTGACCCCAGACATGATCCCCATGCCTCCTCACACCTGGTCGTGTGAGATACCTGGCAGGGTAGTACGGGGGGGCAGTAGGGGAGGCAAAGCTTTGGCTTCCTTTCAACCACATTGCCGGTTGCCCTGTCCCCAGCTTTGGCTCCCTTCCCACCCGGCTTGCCCCGGGGAAAGTGCACACGTGTATGTCACCCTGACAGCACAGTAATGAGAGGAAGCCAGGCCTTTAGTGTGAGCAGACGGCACACACTGCTCCCCTAGCAGGGCCACCAGGCAGAGGCTACCGCCACCCAGAGCAGGGCCTGCTCGCGCCAGGTAAAACCTGCTTCCCTTCAGAGCAGGGATCCAAGAGTCTGCAATGTCTTTCTGGGGAGGCCTATCACAATGCGACTTCCAGGTTTTCCAAGCAACGGCAAATGACAGTGGGACTGCCACCCGCCCCACCCCCTGTCCCGTTTGTCTGGATCCAGGTCAGGTAATACCCCTGAGACCAAGATGATGGGTGGGCTGGCTTGGCAAGTTCAACCCAATTCATCTGAAAACCGCTAAGGTCTATTTGGTTAAGTAATAGGGAAATGGGGTCTCATGGCGGAAGGGTGAGCCTGGATGTGGGTGAGGTCATTCCTGGGCTCAGTTTCCCTCTCAAAGAGTGCCGCCATCTCCACTCTACGTGACCCCTTGAATTTCAGGCCAGGAAAGTCAGCACAGGTGCCTGGCCCACAAGTTACCTGCAGAAGCTGACAAAGTATGCAAAGCTACTGTGTCTGGCATTCGGGAAGTTAGCTCTGAGATGATTTGGAAAAGCAGTCAATCATCTCCTGGGCCTTCCTTCCCAGCCACATGAGAATTGTCACTTAAAGCCTGCCTGTCAGTCTCCTCACTTGAATGGGAGGTGCTGCTGTGAGGCTGGAGGCAGGCCCTGAGGAGCACAGGGCGTGGGAGCATCAGCTCGCTCCTGTAAACCCACGCTGCCAAGCTGGATCCTAACCAGCTGGAAGGAGTGTCAGCCAGAAGCACATCACTGTCACATGACGAGGGACTGGGCCCGGAACACAGATCCCACACACACCTGTTAAAGAGGTTATTGCGGCTAACCATCCGCAGAAAGCCCGTTGGGTCAGTGACCGAGTTGAGTTTGTTGCTCATTTCTTCAAACTGCTGATCCATGAGGTCACCGGCCTCACTCTCTGTCTCGCTACTGGCACAGGCCCTGCAGGACAAGCACAGAAAAGGCCAATCAGAGAAGAAAAGGACTGAGCTGGGGACGTCACCCTGGGGTCTCAGGACATCTTGCCACCCAAGACCCTGAGTGAGTGCCCCCCCGCTGGCATTGTCACGCCCTCCTCTGCCCACAGTGCTTCTAAGAGCAGCTCTGCCTGGCAGGCATGGCGGGTGTCCCCATCAGCTGTGTCTCTACAGGCAGTGCTGCGCCACAGTGTGTCTGCAACATGTGTCCCAACACATGAAGCGCTCACAGAACACCTGCTTTAGGAGCTAGTGGCACAACTCTTGGAGTAGAGCTAACATGGACCTGGCTGTGAGGCAGCCCTCTCAGCACTGACCCCAGCCCATTCCATTCCAGAAACTAAGGAATTAATCACCAACTATGTGCAGACACCATACTAGGCACAGGGGGTAGATAGCCTAAAACGCCATTTTCCAGATGAGGCGACAAACACACACAGGAGCTGCAAGGCCAGGCAGAGTGGCGGCTGTGTGAAATGGAGGCTGAGAAATGGGGCTGGTGGGGCCCAGCTTCCTAGCTCAGCAGAAGGTTACCACTTTTGAATTAATCAATTCATATTTCCCTTATGTCAGATGGTACTAGAACATCTTACAATGGGTTTTAAGTAAACAGAAATACCCAGGAGTGCTTTGATGCATCACCGTGATTACAATGACAAAAGACTGATTAAATGGAAAAGCCAACCAATGTGCCCAGAGGAGAGCAAGAAGGGCGTGGCAGGAGCCAGCACATCTGAGGAGGGCCTCCTGTACCATCCTCCTCCTCCACACCACACCTCACAATCTATCAAGGGAAAATATTTCAGGCTCCACAAAGAAAAACCTCCAAGTGGAGCCCTCACATTCCTTCATCGTCATAATCACATTCAGACTCAGTTGAAATGCTGAGTGATATCCAGTCCACAGATAAACCTCAGCCCGCAGGACAACTTCTTGTCATGTTTCCTGCTGATTAGGATCAGTGTGGGCAAGAGGAGAGTGCCAGGGAATTGGAGGCAGAAGACAGACACCAAGCCTCTCAGAATGGGGACCTTGTAAAGGCTGTACTTCCTGTCCTGAGAGGGAAGAGGCTTAGGGCATCGAGATTTAGGTTTAAGGCAAACGTGATCCGCTTCCGATGGTGAGGCTGGTGAACCCTGTAACATCTGGGTTACATGGCAGAAAAAGTAACAGGCCCCTCACTGGTAGTTTTGGAGCCAGATGAGATACAGTGTGTGAAGCTGCTTGCTCAACTTGAATGCTCTGCGTGATGTCAACCCCAGTAATTAGACACCAGCACCCCGACTCAGCTGTGTTCCTTCCAGAAGGCCAGGCAAATGCCCCATCACTGGGAAAGATTCCAAAGAGTTGAAGCCCTAGAGTAGAAGTGCTGAGAGTGGAGCAGTCTCCTGGGTCAGCACCGGTAGGACTTCTTGGCCTCCCTTTTGCTCCAGAACCATGCTGGATGGCTGGTAGAGGCCTGGCCATTAGCCTGCTTTTCTTCCTGGCCATGCAGCCTTTTCTTCATATGCACACAGTACCCAGCAGGCAGTAGGTATGCAATGAGGAACTGATGAATGAATGAATGAATGACTTATGTGTGAGGTATTTCTACACATATTTAATTTTATCTGTGGGACAACCTTGTGAGGTGGCTTTCATTATCTCCATCTTACATCTGAGGAAACTGAGGCTCGGAGAAGCCAAAGAACCTAGTCAAGCAACTCTAAGTGATAGAGGCAGGACAGAACCCAGTTCCTCGGGTCTTTGGCACCCATGACCACCCATCTCCTAGGCGGCACCTCCTCTCATATGCCAGGCCTTGCCCTGCTGGGGTTTGACTGGGGGACACAGGGATGCCTATGGGAAGCAAGAGAAATCAGGAAACTTCTCAGGGTCTAGACAAATCCCCACGCTGCCATCCTGTGGAGAGCAAGAACGGGGTTTATTCCTCTCCCCGCCCACAGGCTTCAGCTGAACAGGAGAGCCACAGAGGCTAGAAATGCCCCCTGTGGAGCGGAGACCCTGGTAAATATCACTCCACAAGCTTCCCTGTCCAGGGACACATCTATTATCTGGATGTGACGGCCTGCTTGGCACTGAGAAATCTGCTTATCAGTCAGCGCTGCACAAGGGGAGAAGATTCAGCTGGAACCAGTATGGGCTCCATTATCTTGCAGCTCCACTCTCTGTCAGCCGTAGCCTGCGCCCTCAGAATCTCATGCTTAATGGGGTTGTTTCCTATTTGCTGAACCTCAAAGTCTTACCACGGAGGGGAAAACAAACAGACGATGTCATAGATAAGGGACTCTCCCATTTATAAAGCAGTCCTCACCTATAGAGCAGTGGTCCCAGGAGTACCTTGCCACTGGTCCTTATATCACAACCCCCCCCCCCCAACCAACCACCCATTCTGAGACTTTCTAGAGATGGCACATCACACCCAGAACTGGCCACCACAGGCTTTGGTTCAATTCACTTCAACTCGACATGATTACTGAGTGAGACCTACCGGCAAGAACTGCTGGGCTGAGCAGCTGTGGAGTTCACCACACCTGCCTTCACGGCCCTTACAACCTCGCTACAAGAGACCGAGGGAACAGTAGCTATGGGCTATGGTGCATTAAGAACGAACATAAGGAGGCCAGTAGTCAATAACCAAGATTCTAATATACTCAGGAGGTGCAGAAAAGCTCTGCACCGGAGAGGTATTTGGAAGGATACCACGTTGACAGATAGCTATGAGCGGGGAGACCCTCCAGGTAGATGGAACGATATAAACAAAAGTGTGGCGATGAAACAGTGTGGGGCCTATTTGGGGCCCAGTAGGAGATAATGGCGGAGGGCCTTGAATTTGGAAAGTAGTCGGGAGTCATCTGTCCATATGAGCAGAGGGGAGGCAGGCCCAGGGCTGTTCTTTGGGGGATATTGAAATGGCCCAGAGTAGAGAATGCTGTTTACGCAGGGAGCAGGGAGAACAGGTAGGTGGCTATTACCAGCACCTGCTCAGAGGCAGTCCTGAAGACCCAGGGTCGGGCTCTGTGAAGCCTGGCCAGGCCCTACACCTAACTGGAGCCCCATTCCCTCAGGAGTTACTGTCATGTTTATATGCTGATGTGCATCAGTTTAAACACGCCAGGTTGGGCAAATTTTCCACAAGCCCCTGGGCTCTGAGATTTGTAGAGTGACTCCCTCCACTGTCCTGACCTCCCAGCCCCTGGATGCCCTACAACCAGAGCAGCCCAGCTGTAACCCCACCTTCCTGGTTCTTCCCCATGTTTTGTTCTCTACTGACACCAACAATGGTTCTGGCTTGTCCTGTGGTTGCACCAGCTATCCCACTGGACTAGGGTGGCAAGGCTGAGAGTGGAAAAGTGGAAGCAATGGGACAACCATTACAGAAGAAGAACTAATTTGCCTAGAAAACTCACTGAAGGGAAGGGGTAGAGGTCAGAGGTTCCTGCAGACAACTAGTGGTTACAATGTGGCTGAGGGACAGCTGGTGGCAAATAAAGAAATTAAGTAGAAGTTGGTCTTAGTGGAAGAGGAATGGGTTCAGCTTGGATATGGTGAAGGTGTAGATGGGACATTTAGTTGGATATGTCAAGTATGCAGATTGCTGATTTAATTATTTAGTCCCCCTCCTTCCAGAAGGCTTGGAGACTATTAGATATGCAGGTCTGGTGCTCAGGAGAGAGGTCAGGACCAGCTGCTCGATGTCTCATTCATTTGCTCTTTCAACAAATGTCACTGAGTACTTGTTATAAATATCCTGTTAGAAGAAGTTTCAGTTCTGCTAAAACTCCACTCAGTTGTTCCCGTTGAGTACAACTACAAACCTGAACAGATTGGAATTCAAAGTGCCACCAAACTGGTAGTGAATGTTCCATTCTTTTCCTTCTGGAACCCCTCAGACAGACCCCAACACTCCTCACAATACAGAAATGGGCATCAGTATTGGCAAAGAGCTCTAGGAGAAGAGAGAGTAGGGAAAACTTTGTCTTTTTTTCTTTTCTTTGCTCATGTTCAAGCCAACAAGCAATTCTGTGGCAGTAGCAAGGACCTGAAGGAGTCTAAAACTGTCCCAGAAAATAGACACCAATATTACCCTGATACCAAATATAGACAAAAACAACTTGGGAAAAAAATCCTATAGAACAATATTCCAAATGAAAAGAGACACGAAATTCCTCAACAAAATGTTACCAAATAGAATCCAGCAACATATAAAAAGAATTATACACCTCAGTCAAGGAAGGTGGCGGGGAGGTTATTCCAGGAATACAAGGCTGGTTCAATACTAGAAAATCATTCAATATAATCCACACCATTAACAGACTAAAAAACAAACAAACAAGCAAACAAAAAACACATGATCAATTGACACCAAAAAAAAATTTGAAAACTCAGACACCAATTCATGGTAAAAATCTTACAGCAAACTAGAAACAGGAAAGAACTTCATCAACTTGATAAAGCGCATCTACAACAAACCTACAGTTAACAGCATAGTCGATGGTGAAAGACTGAATGTTTTCTTCCTGAAACTGGGAAGAAGGTAAGTAAGTCAGCTCTCACCACTCATATTCAACATACAGTCAACAACTTGGGAGACTCTCAGAAGCTTTAGTTTGAGTGAAAGAAGCCAGTGTTAAAAGGTTATGTCCTGTAGACAAGTGGAATAGAAACCCAGTCATTTATGGACAAGTGATTTTTGACAAGGGGTCAAAGTCCATTCAATGGGAGCAAACACAGCCTCTTTAATAAATGGTGCTGGCAAAATTGGACATCCACTTACAGAAAAATGAAACAGGACACATACCTTACACCATACACAAAAACTAAGTCAAAGTGGATCAAAGGCCTAAATGTTAAACTTAAAACTATAAAATTCCTGGAAGAAAACTATGGGATCTAATCTTTTGTAAAAGAAACACAACAACAAATACACAAATAGAAGACAAAACAGATAAATGAAACCTCATA